GGCAAAAGCTGAAGCACCCAGTGCTTTGAAGTGCCAACTCTCGGTGCCACATGAGACCTACCATGCAAATCGTTTCTAAAAATGTTGGTTAGATATCCTCCTGAGGAGATACCAGCCCTGCCAAACAATGCGGTGCTACTACTGTTGTGACATGGCACACGTTTGCTGAACACAAAAAGGTGTTGCCTGCTTGTGCGTAATGCATTTATTTGTTCTTATCCTCAAAATTCCCAAATGAACTTGCTTGGGAATTTAGCCTCTGCCCCTTTCATCTGTGTATTTTTTTAAAAGGTGGGTAAAATGAATACCGTGCTGGCCTGCCATTCAGCTAAAAATCCTTTTACCTTTTTAGCAGCCACCACACAGGCAGAGGCAATGTAGGCTTCCTCTGTGCAGAACCTATTAGGGACCGGGAATGTTGTTCAGTTTTCAGTCAGAAAACCTTGCTGTTCAGTCGCAGCTTGGGCTGCATGCAGAGGAAGCTGTTGCAAGGGCCAGCTGTGACACCCCTTTCTAGCACATTGAGAGGTGAGAAGTAGGACTGGCCTGAGAACAACATAGTCAAAACCATGGTTGTGTCAGGCTCGATACATACCAGGGATTGAATCAGCACCATGTTCTGATTGTAACTTTTTGTTTGTTTATATTAGGCCTTGTTGCGTATTTAAACTAGTAACTGGTAGAGGAATTGTTCAGGCTAGAAGTAGGCTGGCGATGGCTGGTGCTGATAGTATTTTTCCCATCACTGTATTAAAATAACGGGATGCAGCCATGCCTCTTAGTATCCCAGCTCGGTTTGTCCTCTGAAGTCAGGTAGATCAGCAGAGCCCTCCAAAGAAATGCAAGTGTTGCGAGAGATGACACTAGCTACCTGTGCACCACCCACCAGCCCCAGGTTGCCTGGTGTGAACGAGGGTTGCCTACCTCAGTGCCATCTTGTTACTAGGAGCAGAGCCACTCAGGCAAAGCATCGCAGGTGAAATGCTCCCCACACCGTGCAGCATTTTCCTAACTTTACTTCGCTTTTGCCCAGAGCCTGGAAGTTAAGAAGCCTGGTTAATCTGAACCATGATGGTGGCACTACTCAGGCTCGGGCTGACAGTCAGGAACACGTGAAACGATTAAACCTTTCAGTTAGTGTCTATCACCTACTTTTTTCTGCGGCCACTGCGCAACACACAGTCTCATGATCCCTATCCAATACAGCTTAGCAAGAATCACTTATAGCCGTGGCCTTTCACTTAATTCAAGCATCTTTGGTGATGGGACTTTCCCATTGACATCAATTCCCAGGGGTGCACAGTGCCTGGCACACCAGCCCATGCACAGGCGTGGGCGCTGGCATGTGAGCACGTGTGCGTGTGTATGCTCTCAGACATGCTTCGCTGCAGCTGCAGAATGAGAGTAAAAAACGTTGATGGTACTAGTTTAATGCTGAAGGGCGAGGGCAGGGTCGGTGGGAGCAGATACTTCAGAACACACTTAGTAGAATGTTGGGTTCAAAAAGCGAGTTTCCCATAGAAAACGCTGTTCACGTTCGCTTCCTGTCAGCTTGCCATTGTTGGAGGAGCTGCTCTGTAAACCCAACCCAAAACAGGATGTTGGCTTTTAGAGTTGATTGATCTTTGAAATGTAAGTGCTTTTTTTCTGTGGTTACCTTATCCCCCTTTTATTCAGTTGAAAATTGAGTTGCTTGAGCGGGAACAGGAAGGGTTGAGACCCAAATTTCAGGGGGTCAAAAGCCCAACATGGTAACAACTGCTGGCTAATAGTATGAATGCTGGAAAATGATGTGGATAGCAGCAGCCAAATCCAGACAGATAGGTGGACAGAACAATCTCAGATACTGGCACTGACAAGAGATCTCTACTAAACCCCTCAGCAAATGCCTTAACAGCGTAGAGAGATTCAATTTGTCCTGCAGAGACCCACGGCTCCCTCCACCCTTTGCTCATCCACCCCTCATCTGCAAATACACCTTCCCAGATTCAGCACCCACACAGACACACCCGAATGAGGTAGCGCTGTGGACACAAGTGTCTGAGTCGAAGTTTCAGATGCCCCCAAAACCTTTCTCTCCCGAATGGTCTCTGAGCAAAGAATTGCCACGTCCCTTCCACCTCCTTTCTGTTGACCCAGCACCCTATAGAGGCCCCGTTGTCCATACTTCGTAGCCAAATTGCAAGAGGCCAGCAAATGCTACGCATGGCGTTTCTGAGCATGGCAGGACTAGTTACGCTACCTCTTTTACAGACATGCCAGGATGAAGGATTGCCTTGCACCTCTCCCCTGCATGCTGCCCATAGCAGGAGCACCAGCCATTTGGCCTGAAGCGAACTTGCTGTTTTGGCATTGTGTATCTTGAAAAGAATGGGCTGGGAAGCTGCAAAATCCAGGGGTCTGTAATTGCAACATTTTTTCACTCAAATGAAATTTCCCCCTAGAGTCTGTTTTACTGGCACTTGTGATGCCTGCATTTTTTTTTCTTCCTGAGCAGAACAGATGTAGAAACTTTTTTTTGCATATACAAACAAGCTAGTCTCATAGACACTGCTATATCCCAGAAAGTCTGTAGACAGAGATACACACAGAGATGCAGAGTCATAGTCTAAAATATCTCACATTCATTCTTGCACATACGCATCATGTAAAACACGCAGTTCCTCGGTATAACCTCCCTTAATAACAGTTGTTACAAGGTTCCTGCAGTTAAAGCATGTGGGCTGTTTGTTTTAGATTTGTCTAGTGTTTTTCAGCCTGGAAACAAGAAAGTCTAGAGAAAATCCACACCTCATGTCTTCCTGTCTGGAGAATAACATACACCGTATTTCTGTGCATTCTCTCCTTGCTCCTTCAGGAAGAAAGATGTAGAATTAATAAACTCAGTACTGTGCACCATGCTCAGAGCAATGGCATTTGGGAATCCTGCTGGCAGAGAAGATTTGCCTTGTGGCAAGATACTTGGGAGCAGAAATAAATAGAGTGAAGAATTGTGGTGGGGCAGCTGCAAGTACCTTTGCTTTATTAGTATGGGTAAAGTGATACTATCTCTGCCTAGCAGTTTCCTTTTCTGTAGACCTAAGCAAACAGTTTCCTCCGCAGAGTACAACTCCTGAAAGCTGAAAGAAAATACTGAAATAGACCCCAAGCGGCATGAAGCAATCATTGGAGGTATGTGATTTTGGTGGTCCGTTACACAGCAGACATCTTGAAAATGACACTTGTGACCAATGCCCACGGTGAAATCCCCGAGCATGAAATCCTCCTTCTGTCCTGACAGCAGGCGAAGCACGGGCAGCTGAAGCATCCTGCCCTCCCCGCCTCACCCTGCTGCTCAGCAGTTCAGCTCCTATCCCCTCTCCCAATGTACCATTGTCAGGACTTTAAGAAATGAATACAATTTCCAACTAAGAAGGAATTGCTTTTGGAGTCCTAATCTATTTTCTTTTATTTATAGTTGCAGCATCTTCTGGTCGCTTACAGTAGAGGGGTTTCAACTAATCCAGTGTTTCAGCAACAGAAGATTAATTACTCCTCTTGCCCAATCTCCAGATTGCAGCAACTCAGCGTATCGTTCTTTTGGCTAAGGACTGAGTGGCCATTGCATATTGAACTTGGGAGAAAATGAGATCACGATTTAAATCTGCTAATTCCTATACTTTCTAAAGAACTGCAGGAGCCCTACAGCATGCAGTACAGCAACAGTTAACTGTAATGTAAGAACAACTATGTCGAGACGATTTATTGGTAACAATAATCCAGATATCATGATGGTCACATTTAAACCCCTTCTGGGGTATGTTCCTCCATAGCCAGCAGGGACTTGTGACACAACACCTCGTAGGAAAAGTATGCGTCCCTTTCAGAAAAGATGCTTTAACCCTCTTCTGCCCTCAAGGTATCATCCCAAAATGACGACATGACATTGTGTCACTTTGCAGCTGCATGAAAGGCAGGGGAGCCAGCAGAAGACAAAGGGAGTGTTTCCAAATTCCTCTGCACCACCCTGCTCTCAAGAGGTGGGGACTGAAATTCTTGAGAAGGACCATATGCAAGCAGTTGCTAAAACAGGAACGAGATGTCTAGTTTACAACACTGCGATCTGAATGGAAAGGGAAACCATAGCAAAACATTCCCTGAGGCTTATTTTTTCCCATCTGAATTTTTCTACCACCATGGAAGCCTCTCACTTCCAGTGCCCAAGTCTGTCCTTCCCTGTGGAGGGAGAGAAGAACATCCAGCACCTCCTCACCTGGTAGTGTGAGACATGAGGGTGGAAGCGGCTGGTCCTGCCATACAGCTTGCTGGCGGCACCTTGCATGGGGTCCCTCTGCTTGTGCCCACATCTGTGCAGCGCCCTTCGCCGTGCAGCCCTGATCTCTCGTTGGGGAATCACCCAGCGGCACAGGAGCAGCACCGATATTATTGTCATCCCCGGGAGTCCCAGCCATGCACCAGGACACCAAAGCCTTAAATTCTGTCCAAACACAATAATCACCTGCTCTCTGCTCCTCTTCTGCCCCTCTAACCACTCTAAAGACAGTCCACTGCTGATTGAAATTACACAAAAGCATGAAGGAAGAGAGAAGGGAAGCTGCAGTTAGGGGAAAAAGGATCCTCCTCACAAATAAACAGCAGGGAAGAGACCCTGGAGACTTGGAGAGGGAAGAGTGGACAGGGGAGAGAGCCAGGCAGGGACACCGGGGGAGCAACTGCAAGCAGTGGAGAGAAACAGAGGCAAAACAGGGCAAGGGAGGAAAGAAATAAAGATAAGGTGACAGAAAATACAAAGGGGAGAAAGAAAGGAAGGGACAAAATGCACATATGGGGTCCCCAAGTTTGGGCACAGCAGCAGAGTTTGCTGCTTGTTGTCTCACGAGCCCAGCACTCCGGGAAGGACAGTATCTCTTTAGATTTGTGTCTAAATTTAAACCCCGATTGCCTTGCCTCCCCCTCCTCTCCCCTCCCTCCCTTCCTCTCACCCACCCGCCCTTCTTCCTTGTTCGTAGTGCAGGGCCACTGGCTGGGCTCTGTCAGTTTTCAAGCTGAGCAGGAGCTCGGATATTACATACCCTCCACGGCAGCACGATTTTGCTCTGGCTCGGCTGAAGTTTTCCCACAGATAAGAGGGAAAGGGGTGGGGAAGAAAGATTGCCCTGAGGACACCTCTCTCTTGCAGGACATGGAGGTAAAGAAAACTTTTATTTCCACTAGCTTCTGACTGGCTCCTCGATCTGTATTAGCTCCACCTTGCAAAGCAATTTCTCACTAAAGGCAGCTCAAAAGATCTCTTCGCTGAGGTTCAGATAAATATCTTCCCCCCCCCCACCCCAGCCCCTGCCATGCACCTCAGAATATTTTTCTGGTTTTAGTCCAGATTTGGCAAGTAAGGGGATGGTATGGGGAGAAATTACATCTGTGAAAGGGGAAGGAAGAAGGACTGCCATGTACTTTTTAAGTCTCTGAGGTGGGAAAGA